TAAAGAAAGTGAATTTCTACGGAAAGCTTTTAAAGCAGGCTCTAGCCTGTGTCACCTTGACGAGATGTTTATGAATAATTTTGTTTTTGCGTCTTGCTATAAAGCCTGAGTAACGCGAAATACACGTGTTCTGTGAAGTTATACAAACGGCATCACTTCATAGTGCTGTACTTTTCAGTTAAAAGGACGTAGAAATACTATGCACGACTGCAGGTACACAATTACACATGAGTGGCTTGCTCTTCGCCTTTTCTCTGAAGCAATCTATGGAGATCGCCTCGACATTCGGACAAGTGGAAAGTGTGTTCACACCCGATGAAAGCGCATCTGTTGCCGAGCAAAAGCCGCAAGATCGCATGGTTGTTTTACGTTTTAATGTGAATGTAAACGTTAACACAATCTCGTTGTCCGTCGATTCCAGCACCATCGCGTATACTTTTTCCTGTGTTGTGTGCTCCAGAGAAATCCGCGAACCAACGATAATCCCGTAATATATTTCGATAGGTGCAAATCTACTTACCGTAAAGCATAGAGAAACTTAAGTGAATTAGTAATACTGTTTTCACCGAATTGTTATCATATATATTTTAACGAACATAGTGTAATATTTGCTGTAATATACAGTAATGTCTGTGTTTCATTTGCTTACACAGTAAAATTATGTATATATATTATAAAATAAGCAATTCATGTCGGCTCTACCCAGCCACATCTCCAACTAACATGTGTAACTGGCACCGCGGGCATGCACACTATTGCTGACAGCATGTCCACACACCTGGTCTAGCCAATAGGTCATCAGGGTCACAGAGCCGACCTTCATCAAGGCGTCACCCACTGTGTGGTGGGGTAATTAATCCTACGGGAAGGGGCACTCATTTATTTCTTTGACGCCGCGGTGGAAAAAAATAGGTGGGGCGACTCAGTTCACGAACAGGCAATCATGTAGCAGGTCGTACATTTCTCAGGCGAAAACGCAGCGGGTACTAATGCTCAACCCAAGTTGGTCTAATGTGAGGCTCCTGCCACCATCCATCTGCTTTTGGCTTGTAAATGGTACTGACATCGGAGTTGTCTCTATCCATTATTTTTCCAACTTTTGAAAAAAGTGCAGAGCGCCCTGTATGTATCGATGGTTGTTTTTATTTACAAAAAGGATGTTTTGCAGTTTTGTTGTCCATTGCACTTACTGTCCCAGTTAAGCACATCACTTTGCGTTGTTAACAAGCTGGGTAGCTGATACAGTGTGCCTTTTGTCTTACCCAGATGGATTTGGCCGAACTCGATGCAAATATTGACTGGTATTCTAAATACTACGCCTCACGAGGTATGTGGAACAAGTGTTTGGACTACAAAGAACGTGGATACGATACGTTCATAGTAAGTTCTGCCTCTGAACTGAGCTTTTCTAGATAATGTTTTTGAAGAAGCTATGTCAGATAGTAGTCATTTTGCATAATGTTCCCTCTTGTTTTAGTATTACACAAACGAACTGGAAAAACAAGAAGGATTCTACAACTTTATGGATTTCTGTGCAGTATTCCCGCTGCACCGCGGAAAGACGACAGATGATGAGGAGGAAACCTATGCGGGTGACTTCAAGGGGACCTTCCGGGTGTACTCTCTTCCTGAGGATCCCAATGCACCTAAGCCGCTTCGATATTTAGAGACGGAAGTTCCCAAGCCGGATCCGGTTGAATGCATCGTTCGCGTATACGTCATCAAAGCAACGGACTTGCAGCCCAGTGATCCATCGGGTTTGGTAGGCTAATTTTTGGTGACGTTTCAATATGGTAATTGCCCAGCGCTGGCATGATTAAGTGAATTATTTGTGTTTGTGGGAATGTTTCATTTCAGGCCGACCCCTACGTTGAAATTCACCTTGGCAAGCACAAGGTCAGCTCGAAGGATCACTACATTCCCAACAACTTGAACCCGGAATTTGGCAGGTAACTCTACTGGATATTATAATTTGCAGTTCCGGCTGCTCATCACTTTAACTCGGGGTGCTGCAGTTTTTCCCTATATGCAGGTACCAGTGTGTAAAGCTATCCAACAGAGCCTGAAGGCAAAGGTCGGGCGGTAATAGCCTTCTTAAATGTGAATTTTTATCAATTCAATCAGGCTTTAGTAAAGGCAAGAGACTGCATCACAAAAGTTGAAAAAATATGTAGGACAATGGCACTCATTGGCAACAATTATACCAGGCATAACTTGGATCTACGTTGAGTCCTCCGTAACACTTGCCACAATATTCCCATCAATAAATTTCTTTTTAAATCTAAGACTGTACTAAAATCTTTCCTTGGTGACGTGGATGATTCGAATCCTACCGAGGCCGCTAATTTTTAACAATTTGGTCTGTAACATACGAAGGCGTTTAAGCGTCCTTCTTCAGTGTGTCAACCGTGAACATCATCATGATATTAAAGACAAGATAAACCGCAAGAGAACCGAAGATTGGAAATCTTATGGAAATGCAACCAATTGGGATAATACTTTATCGTCAACAGTGAAAGCTCTCTTCAGGCATATTCCAATTCTAGAAATCGGTCGCAGACTGTTTTTAATTTTGGTCATAATTGGAACCGATCTAGTGCAGTCTTCATTCCTAACGATGCACGACAGCACGGTTAGAAAGCTTAGACAGATGTACAGGTGATCCAGTGGTAGGGCCCCTTTTATGTTCACTGTTTTCATGGAACGTCAATATACGCGTTTGACAGCTGCTTTCCAGTTTACAGACAGTTAACGCACAAGTTTTTCTTCTTCAGAATGTTCCAGCTAAATGCCCGGATCCCTGTAGAGAAGGACCTCATAATCAAGGTGATTGACTATGATTTGCTCTCACGTGATGATGTTATTGGTGAGACGACGATCGATCTGGAGAATCGCCTTCTCACACGATACCGCGCCACCTGTGGATTGCCGCAAACGTATACCGTCTCCGGTCCCAACCAGTGGCGTGACAACCAAACGCCCACACAGATTCTCGATGCCTTTTGCACAAAGAACCGCCTCCCCTTACCCAAGTACTCCGAGCCAGAAGCGGGTGGTCCCATGACCTGCCACATTGGAGAACATTTCTTCAATCTCAGCGTCTTCGAGAAGGGTCTCATCCCGAATCCTCATCTAGGCATTCCCAAAGAGCGCCTTGCCCTAGCCATCTTGAATGCCCTCCCGCTTGTGAAAGAACATGTGGAATGCCGCGCTCTAACCAGTCCATTACAGCCGGCGATTGAACAGGTTCGTTTCCACTCTAACGGATTATGACCTTTGTTTGTATGTTAGCCCCTGCTTGTTATATTTTGTCCCCTAAATGGGCCGCGTGCTAGATGCGCTGGACCAACATGGGGACCGACTCAGGGCACGGCATGGGGTGCGCTCCCATAAAAAATGTCGAAAGGCACATTTAGACTAAAGGGAGTTTTGGTTAAGTTGTGACTAGTCCACAGTCAGGGTGCCTTATGCTGTTATGAGAAAAGCATTAGCTGTCCTTGATTAAAGGGCATTATTGGTCAGCAGATTTAAGCAAATATACTATTACCATTCTTTATCAGGCAGTAAGATCAGCTCTACGTCCGACTGATAGCAACCTTATAGGCATTACATCGCATTTATTCGTATATATACAAATGGCACAAACAGCGAAAACTGGGGCGTCATGCTTCACCAAGTTACTTTCGTCAAAATAGTCCAAATTAAGACATGGCGAACCTGCATTGTGAACTTTCGAACAGGTTGTTTTTTCGAATTCTTTGTGCTTCCAAATAGCAGAACGTAGAGCTGGGACGTAGCCCGTGGAGTCTTAAGCTAGTATCCCCCTTACTTACAAGTGGCTTCTCATTATGCAACTGCCCTCAATAATCCTATACCGAAATTCATGGCAAAACTGAGTCCCATTATTTTTCTTCACTATCTTTCAAAATCCGTTAATTTTCATAAGATTGAACTAACTAGTACCTGGGATATTGTAAATAGAGGCGTTTGGCGTACATACAGAAGACTGGCTACAAATATAACGCTGCTATGTGGGACTGGGATAGTTTGATGTTTTTGCAACCTCCGGTTGCATTTTCGCTTGAATGAGCTCGAAGCAGACATTTTTAGTTCAACTGTGTTTCCGGGGAAAATATTTCACGAATGGCCTGTACATTCTATTTCCTATTCATAAGACTATTGTAGCCCTCTAAGTATGCTTAGGTTTCCTTAGGATGAACAGTGAAGAAGACGAGGTGGACTAAAATGGGCGATTCTAGCCTATTAACCATCCTTATCCAGCCATGCGCAACGCCAGAGTTGGACATACCCTGACTTGGACATGGAATCAGACGCGCCTTTTCAATACTCTAAACATTCCGGTTAACGCGCTTTCCATATCCATACTGAAGCTCCTCTCGAATTTGATGTCTCTGATTGTTTCCATTAATTTATTTGTGATCAGGGACAGGGTCTTGGTTGTTAAAAATCTATAAACATATTAGTGAGGACTTGTCTTGGCATATTTGCCTTTTGTTAGGAGCTCAAGTTTGCCCGGGCGAATGATCCTCCGTGCAAACTATGCTTTGGCAGTTGTAGGTAGCGCTACTTCATTTCATATTCAACAACGATGCGCTATTTAAGTGAGGGTAGGTTTAAAGACAAATGCGTATGCTAGGCACTTTTCGTCGGCCTTTTACCTGATGACCACTGATTCAACTGTTTCCCGACTACTCCTTTTCACATTTACATCGTCCCGAGCCAAGTGTAAGTCTCGCAGCCTAGATCTGCTTTTTGATGACGTGCCGTAAAACCATCTAGGTGTGTGTTACGATTCAAAAGTCATGCTCTTTTAGCATGGGGGGAATCCTCGGTGGCAGTATGTGCAGCTGCCGGAACAGGTGAGTCATCCACAGAAGAGACACCTTTGTCTGTCCACCACGAGATGCCCGCATGTGTTGCATTCTGATTCACATTCCTAATTACCCATTTGATCTCTAATCGTTGTTGTGCGAATATTTTTTCTATTGTACATATCGTGCACGCTGGAATGTAAAATAAATTATATCGCATGTGCACGTAATAATCTGTTAGCCTTTCACCTCATCATGCAACACTTTGACTCCTTAGGGAAGACTTGAACTCTGGGTTGACATTTTCCCGAAGTCCCTCGGTGATCCAGGCCCATGCTTCACTGTAACTCCCCGTCGACCAAATGACTACGTGCTACGTGTGATTGTCTGGAATACCTATGACGTTATCCTCGACGAGACTTCTATCACCGGCGAACGCATGTCTGATATCTACGTGAAGGTACGTTCTGCAAACGCGCGTAAAACTTGTGGACACTGCGTATACACGGTGTTTCTATAAATCATGGATTTTGAGCAGTTAACATGGAGATTTACATGTAGCTAAGTAATATTCCAGGAAAGAAAACCAAATACCTATATTGTAATATAATAAAAATTGTGAATTCAATTCTATTTTTTTTGCTGTCTTGTATTTTAGGGTTGGCTTGAGGGTGTCGAGGAACGCGAGAAGACCGATGTCCATTATCGATCGCTGAACGGAGAAGGCAACTTCAACTGGCGTTTAATATTCCCGTTCCAGTACATCCCAGCTGAAAACGAGCTTGTGGTCTCAAAGAAGGAACACTTCTGGTCGCTTGATAAGACCGAAAAGCGTCTGCCAGCGGTTTTGATTATGCAGGTCTGGGACAATGATCTCTTCTCGCCAGATGACTTCCTGGGTACCCTAGAATTAAACCTCACACGCATGCCCCAACCAGTAAAAAGAGTCAAAGATTGCAAGATTGACCAGATCCAAACGAGTCAGCCAAAGAGCAAGTTTATAAACCTGTTCGAAAGCAAAACCACAGGCGGCTTCTGGCCGTTTGTCGATGCACCTGGGCCGGAGATGAAACTAACTGTAAGTTTGCTCAGATGGTACAACTGAATAAATATAAACGAAATGGGTTTCTAACTTTGCTTTTTAATCGAAATTTTTAAATTGCTTTAAAACGAGACTAATTATTCAGTAGATGAGTGTGAGAAATATTTCCAGCAGATGATAAACTCCTTAACTTTGCGCTAGTTTGTATTTATTCATTGGTTGTTTGATAAATTATTTTCATTTCCACGAAACTCAGTGACGAGACTAACGAAACAAGGTTATTTAAGGCCAAAAAGTATTAATTATGATTGGAAGACACAGACCCGAGGTAGCTGCTTTTTGAAGTCCGTTGTATTTTATCATTATGCGAAACAAATTATTCTATGAGCTATTCGATAAAATATTGGACAACCGCACGTGTTCTACCCAGTTTGCGTATATTAGTAGAAGGAAAATCTATAAAAGCACCTAAGTTGTTCATTTACACTAGTTCTCCATTCACCCTTAAACGCAGGAAATGTCTCAAGGGCAGATGGGCTAGGTCAGACGGGGACTGGAATGATACAAGCCATCTACTTTCTTGTGTAAGAAGATTGTCAGATGTTCACGTCCATTCAAATAAAGGTATATAGGAGGAAACTTGAACATGCTGCGAAACACCGTATCATTCGCCATATTCCTGAGCCCAGTTCCTGGCCGCCACTTCCAATTAGATATGCAGTTAGCGTTCGATAAAGCGATACTGTTATGGGAGTAAATCTTCCCGATAGGGCACCAGTCTCAACCGGTAAAATGGAAGACTTAGGGGATTGAGCAACAACACAGATGAGTACACAATTCGGGCAGTTCTGACCTAGACTTTAGACTCTTCTGGTTGATAATTGCAACTAAGTAAACAGTTGTAGTTGCAATCACATAATTCTTAGCACAATTTCTCAATTACCGGTTGATTGCAGCTATGCAACCGCCTTCGATATCCAAGATAAAATATACTGTTTTTTTTTGTGGTTAACTTGATGAAATGCTAGTATTGTACAACCTGGAAGTGTAGGCCGTAAAACTTTTCATACTAGACCTTTATAGTCCACTGTTTTTGCATCTCGTTGCGACAAAATCCGTGCATATTGACACGGTTTGTGTCCAAGCCTAGTGGGTAGTTAGCTCTTACCCGCGGACGTTGTGGGAATTCAGTTAGTTCATCTTTGTACGAGGCATTCTACATCTTTCATATTTTTGACTTACAAACAAGGTCCACTCACCTTCTTTCGATTCCCCGTGCATTAACTATTAATTTGTAGTCCGCATAAGGAACTCTGAAATCGTACCATAATAAGTGTTAATGTCGAAGTTTAGAATAGAATAATCCACTGAAGGTTCTGTCTTTGCAAGCAAGTACTTTTACTTTTATTAACCAAGTTGGTTTTCTTTTTTTACAAGGGAAAACTGGAAGCTGAGATGGAGTTGTTAACCAAACAGGAGGCCGACCTGAAACCTGCTGGCAAGGGTCAGGAAGAACCAAACCAGAATCCGCACTTGGACAAGCCAAAGTGAGTAAATATTGCCATTTTAGAGGAGAATTTAAATGTATTTCGGGCTATAACTGGCCATACTACCACAAGTCAAAATCAAACCCTTGCTCGTCCGATTAAATCCGTGTAGGTCGAATATCCTCACCGAGGTTTACTCCTGCCGACTGTTGAAGGTCTGTATACCTTTTTTAAATA